TTTACAGCTTACGCGAAGATCAACTTCTGTGATTTCCTTTTTATCTTCGTATAAAAATATACTCTATCTATGCAACTTGTAAAGGATATTTTATAAGAAAAATATAAGAGTAAAGTATAGTACATACATCGCTATATGCATATAGCTTTGTATTTAAAATATATAATAAAAATATTTTCCCAGGCGTGTATTTTGCAACAGAAATATTTTATGCTCAAAATTGAAAAAAATTTTAATTGCCTGATCAAATGTTAAATATATAATATAATACAATTATATCTCTCTTGATTATTGATAAATTAAAATTACGTCAATGGGGTGAAATGTAGTTCTCTTCTAGTATTCTAAATAGAGATATCAAAATAAGAAATCGACTCGTGTGTGCATAGTGATGACTTTCTCGCATCTGATTTAAGAAAGATATATTTTTCTCGTAATGTTGCGAAACTTTCCAGAACGATAAAATCGCGTTACAGTTTCGTAGCGGCATAAATGCCGTCGCGCAGTTTTATAAGAAGCACAAGCAGAGGTGGAATAAATTTTCCAACGGCTCGTGAATCCTTCAAAGAAAATTCTGCGACGCTGCGATACTGTCTTAAATGAAGTCCTGAATATATTTCCCGAATTATGCTTGGACAAATATTATTATTGTCGTTGCAACAAAGGGCCGGGCTGCATTGTGCACCTTCATCCTACGCCGACGCGAGATCCTTTCAGGAGGTCACGAGCAATTTCCCCTTTGCTCTCTCTAACTCGCGGACAAAAAAGCGATTTGCATCGTATAAAAGGGTGCCTGATGAAGGTGCGAGGATCGAGGCTATTAGTGATAGTGAAAACAACTTATTGTCCAGTTTGCCTGGAATAGTAGGAAATATAAGAATGTGGAAGAGCGCGTATGAATAAAAATATATGGCGACAATTACGCGATTGCGAAATAGTGCAGATTGTTTCGCGCCCGATCACGTTAGGGGCGTTTCTCATCGTCGCGCGCGTACATCTTTCTTTCTTTTTCCGCCGAAATGTCGATGAAGTACGTTGGCAAATGATATATTTTTATCGGCCGCAAGTTCGGGCGCCGGAATGATCAGAAGTTTTGCAGGCAAGTCACGTGCGCGAGGATTTGTGATTTTGATCCTAATGTGCCCTACTCCTCCTGGGTGTAATAACTTCTGTCTCGTACAACTTGTCTGGCCCTTGGCGCAATACAACGGTCTCGTTTCAGTAACATTGCTAGACATTGGTCATGCATCTATTTCTGCGAAGTTTTAGAACTCCCGCAACTTTCCGAGCTGTAGTTTGTCTTCCTTCGTTATTACAAGTTTTCCAGCTTCATTCTTTGAATCGCGCTTCAGCCGCCATCGTTTTGTTTTATCGTCCTTGAATCATAAATCCCTCATCTTTTCAATAATGTCAGATTTCTATTCCTATTCTGATGAAGAGATTTTATAAAAATCTGATTCTTTCATTCTTGACATTTACGAACGCTATTTTACATTTTAAATATTACAACGCACGCCTTTTGTTATGTTTTCATTGACCAAGCTTGGAAACAACGATAAATATCTAATTGTTTATTTGTCACCACGATGTTTATCATGAACAATAGTCAATTTATATGCGGTGAATTAATAAATGTTACGATTGTTTGTACGGCGTCGATGCGTTGAAGAGAATATATGACGCAAAGGAATGGGAAATTATAATAAATGAACGCAGACGATGCGCTAATTGCGTTTTGCTAATTGCTTTCTTCATCGGGATGAATTATCGAAGTTCGTTCCTTCGATGGGCATTTTTCTCTGTCCGGCGTTCGAGTTGAGCGCGCTGGAAGAAAAATCCGCACGAAATACCTCATCAGCTTCTGAATAAATTTCTTATCGCACCTCTCTCGCTTTGAATTAAGTTCGAAGTTGAAAAAGTTTTCGATGAATTCTGTGCCTCGGTGGACATGGTGATTTCGCGCTGAGCGATTCATTAGCGACGCAGAATAACGATTATGTCATTATTAGTAAAATTCCCCTCGTTTTGTCAGCGGAGAGAAATTCTCATGCACTCGCTGATCGGTGTTCATTGAAAGTTTAATTTTCAAACGAAATAGTCCGCAATAATCTAATGAAGTTTCTTCTATTGAATCGGCGCGCATGCATTGATATGTGAGAGTTCGAGCCGTCATTATAACGGATTAAATTGGTTTCATTTGACGTACATCGCATTTCGTTATTTCGTTTCCACCAGCTTACGGACGTGAATTACCTTCATCATGATCAAATTTCTACCATTTAGCGGAAATTTTTTTTTAGATATCCCACCATTATTTATTATTTCTCGAGCATAACCGAACTTATTGAAATGCTTGATGTTTAAAAATAAAATTCTTAGATAATTTTTGCGATAAAAATATTAAAACTTACTCGAACGGTTAATCGTATATATAAAGGAACGCGCAGTGCTGGCTGACTATGTGTGCTTCCACTACTGCGATCGTTTTGTATACGTCCGACTATAACCGCTTCTTTGCTACTTGAAAGTCTGACATATACAGCTGCGATCTCCTAACTATGAAAAACGGTTGAAACTTGCATACCTCTTTAAAGTTTCGTGAAAGCAATTGAGAATTTCTGGGAAACTCTCGAGACGTGTATGAGGATGTATATAATTTTCGATTCCACGAGCGAGGCGAATTTCCCTTATTGAATTCAGAACATAACGCGGCCGGTGTATGGACTGTCGATACTTTGCGTTATATTTCATGTATTTAGAAGACGAAAGCGATTTCGGTTATATAAACAAATTGATTTGCAAATAAATAGATAAAAAAAAAATAAATGACATAAATAATATATAGATATTTATATTTGACATTAGTGTTTTAAATAGAAAACACTTTTTCTTTCTAAAATTTTTTTATATAATTTACGTAAAAGTTTATAGATATGAAAAAAGTTATGAATTCGTGTCTCTGAAACGACGAAAAGAAAACTGTGACTTTGAATTATAAAATGAAAAAGCATATAACTTTCTACGCTCTTTTCAATATTGTTCTCTCAAATCCCATAACTTATATTCAGGCTAGTTTTTCCCATTACACGTATGTGGCAGAAGTTATGACAGGTTCTATTCGTGCATGACAATAATTTGAAAATACATATTATATGCAAATAATTATGGCGTAGGTACACGTATTCATGTGCGTGAATATTGTGTTAAATAAAATTTATTAATTTATTACGAATATATTTTGAAATATGCAAAATGCGCTTTCGGATTAGAGTTTAACAAAACCGATATTTTTTTTCTTTTAACTAAAAAAAGTATTTGTTCTCTTCTTGACATTTTTCTTCCTGAATAAAGTAAAAGCGAAGTTAAATAATGATTCGTGAAAGCTTGCTCAGCTAAGACGGATACAAGATCTTGAGTATATTTTATTTTTAATATTACAATTATTTTTACATTGTTTGTTTCGTATATTTATTTTCTTATTTGCATCTTATGTTGATACATTAATTTAAACAATCTTGTTTATATAGTTAGTAATAATAGAAGTTATTTCATATTCTATTGTTGGCAAGAAAGAGAGTTAACTTTAGTCGAATCAGAGCAGAAAATATAAATCTCCTGCCCCTCTGAAAAGTTCGTCTTCAAATAGATTACTGTATTTTTCTTCTCAATGGGCGGAGTTACTTCATTCAGTCAGCTATTTTGTATCGTTGAATTTTCGTTTCCACCCTTATCTCGATGTGCTGAATGAGCGAAAAAAGACTAAAGGGCAAAGTTACAAGAGTGTACTTTCCCTTTCACGTAAGCTGCAAACATTTTATCGAGTTGTACCTTATACGATTGAATGCGATAGGTTGTGAAATCTGACCAATGAATACTATACCAATGACTGCGCGGCAGAATTATATCTGATGAATTATATAATATAATATTGGAAACAAGATTAAAATCAATTTTAGTTAATCTAGATATGTTTATAACAATAAGAAACAGAGATCTCAATCGTCCAACCCAATTAGCTCTCCAAATAGAGTTTTGATTGAAATCTTCATTTAAAATACAAAGTTTGACAGGTTAATGAAATGAACTTTACAAAATTTCCTTGCAATTGTGTTACGTTTATTATCGCTGTATCCGCAATATTTTGACAACAATATACCGGCACTCTCTCACGGGAGTAAAATTAGGCGCACGGTTGCTTTCTGACGCATGACGGTGCGAATAGCGCGTTCGACAAAGTGCAAAAATCGATTTTCCAGGCTCGCGCGAATGAAAACTTCCGGTCTTTAAAGAGGCTCATTATTTCCCTGCCAGAAACGACCGATCGTAGACCGACCGGCCTTTCCTCTTCACCCTCGCCGTTCCACCGCCGCGCCGCGCCGCGCCGCGCGCCGTGCCAGCTAGAGAATAGGATTTGGGGTGGAATCGGGGTGGACAAGATTGATAAATTATCGGCTTGAAAAATGCAAAACCGATGCGCGCACACCCACGATTTCACCGACACGCACTCACATATCCGCGCGGCGGATTGGTGTTGGTGTGACATATCGCACGAGTAAGCCCTTATACGATGAATTCAGGCGGATGCATGTTCTCCACATAAATTCCGACACGAAGCTACGTCGCCTGTCATACAGGATGCGCGGAAAAACTGCGGCCTGCGCCGAGAGTGTGTTCCTCACTTTCATGCCTCGTTGCGACGCGCTTCACGGTTTAACCGCGTAATTAAATTTATGGTCTCATTCTATAGACGGCCAATTATCGGCGCAGAATGAATATGTTAATTTTGTTTATTTTCATCGCTCGCCGTGCGTTTATTTATTTTTATAAGAGTGCTTTGCTACCTCTAACTGCTTTGAAAATACATTACTAGATATATCGAGCAATTCGAAATAATAAATGTTTAGATGGGATAATGCAAACTCTATAATGAGTATATTTATTATTATGAATAGCTGTAATAATAACCATTAATTAATAACTACGTGTTTTTATTGTTTCAGATGGAAGAAACGAGTATTGCTGTGCATCTGTTCATAAGGTTAATATATGTAAATTGTTTAAAATTAAGGCTGTGTAATTATTATCGATAAAGGTACATGTTGCGCGTTGCTTATATTTCATTCTCTTTTGGTATATCCATATTTTGTTATAATTATAATTATAAATATTATCTCTCGGATATGAGATGCGACGTATTGGGGAAATCGAAAAGCTGCTTTAAACTTCTTCATGATAAATTTTGCAATGGTATGAGAAAAATCTATGTAATATGCGTGACATTCAAAATATATACAGAACGTCTCTGGATGTGCACGCCGCGAGATTTTAATGCCTCGGGATTTGCGTGGTACAATTTTTTTTTTACGCGGGATTTTTTTGTCGAGCAATCCTCCAGGAGATATATGAAGCGATGTAATTCAATTTGCCGTGTGGCGCTTTTTTCGTGATTTGAATGTCGCGATGAATTTTCTCTCTTGGCAGGCTTCGGTAATTCGCTTGTGAATTACGTGTCGTAATGAGATTGGATGCGCGTTTGATCGGCCGTACTATCAATATATTAGTGAGAGAGGGGAGAGAGAGAGAGAGAGAGAGAGAGAGAGAGAGAGAGAGAAAATAAAGGGGATGAAGAGAGGAGGAGAGCTGTTATAGTGGCATGTAATTATTAATGGAAAATTATATATGGCTACAAAGAGATAAATGCACTTGCAATATTAATATGCGCCTGCGCATATATTCGTATTCATATAACGCTATACATAATTTGAGTCCCTTCTTCTGAGAAACCAATATTATCCACATCTAATTATTTTATCTGCTGCAAGTAGTTAAGAATGTATTATTTGAGAATCAATACTTATACTATTATATAAAATTTTCGTAAATATAAAAATTTAGTTTGTTAAGTAAAATTGAACTTATTTATGAATTAACCAAATATTTCTCTCAAAAACTGCTTGATTGATTGGATCAAAGTTTTTAGTACATTATATATGTGTATGTTCTTAAGAAAGAGAGATTAGTTTCATAAAGCCGTCTAAGTTTTTAATTTCATCCCCAGTAAAAGAACTCGAGTGAAACTATGTTATATAACTGTAGCCGAGATATAATCGTAAATAATGCTGACATAATGCTAAAATAATGAAACATTAAAAAATGGAGCATTATCTCTGCGAAAACGCGCAATTAATACAGTAAAGATAAGTATTTATATAGAAATTTTCCTTTTTTTTTTATATAAATACCGAAGCTAATAACATAATAAATAATCATGAATTATTCTTGGTTTTGCATGATTGATAACATCGTTGATTGCGTGCAATGACCTGTACATTTGTAAAAATATGAGGTCAGAAGTTCAACAATTTATAATACGATTTATATATCAAAACCGCTATCGTTAATATGTGTATTTATATTTATTGTATTTATAAATGTGTATTTATAAATTGCCCGAGAATTTATAATTTTTACAGTTCAACAAACAATATCTTTATTCACATGATGAAAAAAATTCATTTTTAAATTTACAATATTTCTAGCGCATACGTAATAATATTTCTTTTTACGTTACAAATTAAAGTAATGTTTTGTATAATTTGCTTAATTGTTTGAAAAGATGTGATTTAATACAATATATACGTGTATGATCTCAAAAACGAATAATATTAAAGCAATATATTTTATTACTAATAGAATTAATTGTAAAATTATATTATTATCTGTTGTGACAAAGACAACTTTTCCAGAATTGAAAATATACAAAATACATTTAAATGGATATTTTTTATTTTCTTTTGTATGTGTAGTTGTATATATTTTTAAACAAACACATTTGTTAATTAACAAACAGTTAACTTGGCAATAAACAGAAAAATATGATTAATTTTGTAAAATTTCACGATACGCGGATGTGATGGTATATCATAAATTTTATAAAACAGAATAATATAATAATATAATAAATAATGAAAAATAAACTAATGTAATACTAATAATAAGTTTTTTTTATTAAAAATAAATTATAAAATCTTACACAAATAATGAATATAGCTAATATTTCTGAAGCTGTAGAATACACAAAGTGTTTCATTTTAATCTAGTCGAATATTTCGAAAAATAAACTCGGCAAACATAAATGTTTTTTCAAACAGAAGTTGTATGTGTGATTTAAAAGAGGACATATAATAAAAAAATCTTTTTTTTTAAATCGATTTTTTAAGGTTATATGAAAGTCATCATCATTTCTTAAAATAGAATTATGTATATGACTTTTTTTATATAATATGATTTTTCTAGTTATTCTGCATATTGAAGAATAGAGTTATAAAAAAAATCCATGAGATAGGTACGAGGATAGGTATATTATGTTTAGTTCAGCATATTTGACATGAAATATAAAATATCTCGTAAACTATTAATGTTTTAATTACTGTATCTTAATACTTTTATGCAGAATGTGGGTAAATTAATTAGTGTAATAAAAACACAATTGTTTTTTAAAAAAGTTATGTAATTGTATATAAACTCTTTGTCTCTCTTTTCTTCTTAAGTGTTAGATTTACTATTGACTAATATTAATACTTATCTGAATTTGATATCGTTTCAATCTCAAATATTGATTGAATGTATCGATGCTTTGGCGTATGCAAATAGTACAAGTGCCATATCGAATATTTTTTTCATTTGCCATCATAAAAGGTAATATTGGTATAGTGCGGAAGGTGCGTTTTAGTCGACGAATTCAATATATCGCGGATTTTTATTGTTATTGTAAACAATTCAGTGCACATTGCTCTCGACGTACCGTGCTCTGCGCTGGTTTCGATGAGGTATTCATTTAATATGCATTACGCTGCAGCGCTGCCTTGATAAGTGCTGATCTGGCTTAAGTCCTCTTTTACGCGCCATCGTTGAGCTAAAACGAGAGAAATGAAATTTAAAAAAAAAGAACGATACAAAATTTATCATGAAAAAGTTAAAATGGTCAAAGTTCTTTTTGTGCTTAATATAGTTTCTGTAGTCAGTTAACAGAGTTTTAAAATGATTATATTTTTTTATATTTTCAATTTTTGAACACAAAACATTTGACTAATGTATTCTACATAAGTAGTCAATGAGAAATAGTATAGTTCTGATTATTTTATATTTTTACAAAACATCTTCATTAATAAAAATTATATAATATTTATTAGAATTTTAACTTTTTTTATAAATTTGATTTTGAAGTTATCACAAAAGCATGTTATTGATTCAGATTTTTGTGCATTGATTTACATAATGATCAATTTTTAATATCTCTTAATGTTTTCTTAAATATCTTCTGATGTTATTGTAAGCATTATCTTTTTTCCTAAATTATTACTTCAAATACATTTTTTTTATTTGCACATTACTAAATTTAATTTGTAATATTACGTTCGTTTAATGTTGCGCGTTTATAACAGTCCAATATTTTATGCATCTTTTTCCAAATGGGTTATTTCGAACTATTACAAGATTATTCAATATTTCATGAAAAATCGTGACCAAATGGATTTATCTGTATATATATTTGAAATAACAGTCATGCCGCGATCAGAACAGATTTTAATGGTAGTTCCGATGTCTATCACAACATTATTGTAGAGTCAATCACTCTATAACGGATTTGCAACAACTTGTGGTTAATATATAATAAATATAGGATTAAATATACTAAAATAATAATATATACTGAAATACTTTATTCAGCAAAAATGCTCAATAGAATGTATAAAATTAACACGTAATTATGATATTTATGTATACTTAATTATACAGAAGGAGAGAAAAAAAGGGGTAAGATAATTAAAATTTTTATTAACGATCTTTTAAATAGATGATCAATACATGGTTAGCCACAAAATTTTGGACAAAATTTTAATAAATAATAAAATGTTTTTTAATGCATTTTATCATTATCATGTTAGAAAATGATAATCGACTTCACGTTGTCCTATAGTTTCTGTAAACATATATAAAGGTTATCTACTTAAAACTAACTGTCAAAGCCACAGAAAGTAAACTGTGTGTGAAATCAGATTTTATTAGTGTAAAACTGATTATCATAAAGAAAATTTGATAAAATTATCGTAAGGATAATAATAGTCTTATGGCTAATTTGTTAGAATATTTTCAAAATTTGTTAGAATATTAAATATAGATTTGATAAAATGTTATTAAAAAATTGTCTAGAAATATTTCAGATTATTTTCAAACGTTTGCTGCGAATTTTTGTATCTCTGGTTTTATTATATTTCTATTGCAGCAGCTAGAGAGAATGGAAAGTTTTCACGCGTGAATAATGATAAGAGTTTCGCAAATTATACTACGCCTAGTTCTGTATTCAGCAATTACTATGAGTTATAGCTTCTATGCTACGTGCGTCAATCTACAATTGACGAGTTAAACGCGCTAACGCGGTAATTCGATCTGTCTCTCCTATGAATATCGGAAAACGGACTACGTGAGTCAGTTCTGAATACGCGGACGAATACGATTCTTTGTTGTTTCGTTATTTTATTCTGCGATTTTTTTCCAGCGATCACTTCTTGTTAGGCGCTTTGCAAAATCTTTGTACTCTATAAAAGGTGAGGGCGAATATCGATGCTGGATACGTTTGTGCAATTAGTACGCACGGTACGGGACTACAAATGAATCAGGCCTAATTGCATGATTCGATTTTCATCTGACGTCCTTCCCTCGCGCTCTCTAATAATACATGCACACTATGCAACGTGCACGCTATAGCCATCTCTATTAAGCTGATGCTTATGACTCTAGAGATAGCGTATTAGAGCATCAACTTTAGTGGATATTCGAAATTAGGTTTAGCAATTCTCACGATAAACGTATACTACAGTTTACTGACCTCATCGTGTGACACTTATTTATTTTCTTTCCTTCGACAGCTAAATATATTATAATAATTATTGATTATAATATTTCAAAAATAATATAAATTATTATCTCGAAGGATAAGAGTGAAAGAGTTTATCAATGATTTAACAATTAATTAGT